TATTAAGTTTGTCTTTATGTATGGATAATGCACTGTATCTCCAGAAAGGCTGGTATCCTCTTTAAACACTTCAAAGTATACAACTTGAACAGGTCGAGACCACTAGATTTTCTGACGTCAGCATAAATTTGCATGTAAATTAGCTATCTGTTTACTTTACCCACTGATGAATGAGTTACAATGCATTGTGGGCTACTACAAGTACTCATTTGTGTTGAGAATAAAGGGCAACTTGAATTGTCCCTTGGAAACTTATTTCCAACTTATAATTCTTTTTGGAGATTCATGAAAGAAATATTTAAAATGATGTAAATCTTTCATTTCTATGCTCACATTTACAAAATTTGCTTTATGAAGCAATATATCAACTTATAGTTAATTCATAAACCATTGTTCAAAGAAATGTACATGTATAGGAGCTATTGTGTCATTAAAGAATTTAATTTTTTTCACGTGATTTACATGTACATAGTTTTAGACAGCAATACAAGGTGCGCAGTTATATTTAACCCCTCAATATTATCAAAATGTTTTCTAATTGTACATGCAAACGTCAAAGTATTTGCATGGTATACGACTGTTTGAAGCAATTACCAGGTATTAATAATCTAAATCAACTCCAATATAAAATGTGAGCATGGAGCAATGTCTTAGAATGTAATCTTTCAATTTTGGTCTTATAAAGTGATAAAGAAGCTCTACAGTTTTCCCGGTGATGAAGTAAATATTATGCTGTAAACCAACGAAAACCACGTGTTGCTATTGAATTGTAAACACGTAGTAGACAGTCATGCTTTGGGAATCATTCACTTGATTGGAGAATGGCTGTGACGAAGACATCGTCACATGTTAAAAATTGTCTTCCATATAAGGTAGTGGTCTCAACCTGTTGAAGGAGGGATTTCACTTAACAGCATACACAACTCCCAGGAAATGTTTCAACTAAGATGATTTGTTTAATTTACCTTACTGGACGTGTCAGCAGGGGACACTTATTTTTTTGATTAGTTTATAACTTTATAGGCAGGTGTAAGTGTGGAAAGCTGATGGCCTTTGTATTGAGATAATTAATACTGTATGATGATATAGTATGAACTTGAAAAAAAAAAAAAACTGTGAGAAACCGCACCTCTGATTAAAAGAGAAAACCCTTTCTGGGGTAAAGGACTATTATTTCTTTACTACATCAAAATAAAATGTCACAAGGTGTGCTTAAAGTACAGGCAATTTAAGATTTCTTTCAGAAAAATATTTTCATTTAAGCAAATGTTTATATGAATCAATAGAGGGATGATGAACTTTTTAAAAGTTAAATTTCTTATCTAAAATGAATTATTACTTTGTCTATCAAGTTAATGATCTCCTGGGATGTAGGTGTACATATATATATAGTCTTTGAGTTGGTAATTTTGTCTTTATATTAATTGTTTGTATGTAGGTGTTTGTCACTGTGATCACAGACACCTCGGCCAAAGATACCCAGTGTCAAGATGAGCTAGCGCTGGCCTATATTTCCAACTCCTCTGTATTCCCAGTCAGTCTCAAGAAATACAGAGAAATCGGCCCAATGCTTGATGGAGGAATGTAGGTAACATTCATAGAAACAACAAAAAAAGATTTTAAGCCTTAACCTAGCTGCATTGGAATTTACTCAGTTTCCCTCCATAGTTATTACAATTTAAGATGTTATAATTTGAAGTAACTTTTAAACCAAATAGTGCAAGCACTTGATGAATATATTGTACCAGTAATTCAATAGGTTTTTAAAATATGTGGTCATTTATTTGTCATATTTGTTACTGCTTTTCTTTAAAGAATCTTCTACTGGTTGGAAACCAGGAACATATTTAACTAATTCAACAGTTTTTCCAAGACAACAATTTTAATTGTTCCTCACATTTTGCATACCTATTTTTGTAGATAAAAAATTCTCTCTAAAACAAACTCTGTATCATAAGGGTAGAGGGCCCTGAATAGTCATTAATTTATAATAGGTTCCTTACTTGCTTTTGCAAGAAGCAGGCCCAGGATTAGTGATACATTTGTATTTCAAAGTATGCAAACATCTTAAAGCAGAGCAGATTAGAATTCAAATACAGTAATGGTACATAATTACGGGTTATACACATAATGGTACATAGACGTGGGGTTATTATGAAGGATAAAATTTCTATGAGGGAATATACATGTATTGGAAAATTGAAAGGGGGCACAACAAAACAGAAAACCATAAGCTAGTGATATTATTTTTGACAGGACACAACTGTACTTTAGCTTTGATTTCTATTGTATAAATGTTGTAACACGAATATATTTTGGCAAAATTAAAATTTTTTATTTGGCCCTTATTAGTAAAGCAGAAACATAATTACCTAGTGGAAGACCACTTAATATTTCAAAATAAGCAGTATTGTTAAGAATAGGAACCTTGTCCCATTGAGAAATACATGTCAGTGAGAATCTGCTAAATGCATACTTTTTCTGTAACAGGAAGTTAATGTTAGCAAAGATCAACTGGACCTTCTTTTTCAAAGAAGAATTATTTGTGCAGAATATGCCAGCTTTGTTGAGTTCCATAGGGAAGGTTATTGAAGAAAAGACAGAAGAAATCACAGCACCCGAGTCGTTTGATGATGGTAATGTAAAGGTTAAGATTAGTAACAATATTATAAAAGATACTATTTGGGTTTAATTTGCTATCAAATATTAGAGCCCTGAAATTGATAGTTTAATTTATATTATAAACATGTGAAAATCTGCACTACAAATAATTACAAATACGAAACATATAAAGTTCTCTGATAATGATCATATCATTTATATCTCTTCAGCATTATGATACACTCCACTCTAACAAGAGGGCAATAACTCTTCTTACATGTACATCTGAAAAAAAAATTATGGAGATAGAAATACACAGAATTAAAGAAAAATGGATTTTTGTTATTTAGCTTGAAAAATATATTGTGAAGTATACTTTATAACATATGACATTGCTTATTTAACAATTTAAAGTTTTAGAAATTTCTGCAATATGTTTCACATTTTCTTATCAAAGACAATTTGTCTGGAAGCTTTTGATTCCTTTCATACAGTACACATTAAAATTAATATTTAAATATTCAAAGGAAACCCTGGGTCTTTATTAACAAAACATCATAATAACAGCCCCATTTGCTGAACACTCATTTACACTGAGTTCTTAAAATTTGAAACCAATAAAACTTTCACTTTGGAAAAACTGATTGACTTGATTCAAATGTTTAGCTCTACAGGATAAACTGAATACAGTATGAAAGGAAATTAATTAGCTGCTAAACTTCGTAAAAAATCCACTAACCTGCTGCTGAGATCAAAGACTAGGTTGTTTGTGAAAATCTTGAACTGCATGAAACAAAACTACCCAGTTGACAGTTGTAGACAACAGAATTAACTCGTGCTTAATAATAAGTTTAATTTATCTCCCGTAAGGGAGCTGCTGTGATTCTTAAAAGATCAGATAGATTGGTACTGTATGATGATGAGCTAAAACTGTTGCAGCATTTCTTGAAATGAAATTTCATTTATATTAAGTTACCAAGGAAAAGGCAGCCTTGTATGATATTTCATCATTAATAATGCCAAACAAACTCAAATTTCATTCTTTTTAAAAAAATTAGACTTGGTCTGTTGAAAAACTTGCGGCAATGAAGAACAGTTTTTGCACATTTAATTGTTTTTCAAATTTGTTAATGAATTGGAAAACGAGACAGAAAAAAATTAATTTTATTAATTTCAGGTACAATCCAGTTCCATGGTATGAATATAAATGTCCATGACAAATTAAATGATGATTCAGAGGGAGAGGAGGATGAAGATGAAGGGGAGTCGTCAGCCAATAAATCGGAGCAAATCCAGACGTCAGACACTAGCATGCTGAGCTATGACTTCTGGGATAGATCCTTCGGGGAGAAGACTGAGGTAACCTGGGTGGAGTTTAAGAAGAAGTTTGAGGTTGAGTACAGGGAAAAGATTGTAAAGACATACACAGAGGAAGAGTGTAAGCTGTTTGTGAACTTGATCTACAAAGATATTTTTATGCTGAACAAAACCATGAAGAAGGCAACCTATGATCAGTTCTGTGAGGGAAACCCCTCTGCTGATCCCCACCGGTTTTACCATCGACTGGCTCAGTATGCCAAGGGATACCACGCCATGAGGGAAGTCTTCAATATGGATAGTACACTTAGACTCATCACCATACAGAAGCTAGGTATTGCATGCAATTTGTTTCTTTTGCTATTAAAGCTGAAAGAATAACAAAATAAATTATCATAAGATTAAGCTTTGACATACATTTATGTTACTGTGGTTTCAATAATATTAGTGGGCATCAATTTTCGTGGATTTAGTCAAATTCACAGTTTCAAGGATACATAAATTCATGGATAATGGTCCTAACAGAAAAAAATTGTCTATTACCTTTTCATATTTTCTTTCATCGTATGCTTTAGCGGGAATATCGTGCCATTAACAATGTTATGGGTACGTAGATATTTTTAAGAAAATTAGTAACAGGAGAAAACACTTTATTTTATTAAAAAACTTACCCTTGTTTATAGATCTTGGAACAAATACATTTACACTCGCTGGGTATGACTTATGTAAAATGAACAACAAATAATGGAGCTGTGAATGACAGAACTTTCGCAGCATGCATACCCATTATTTCATGTTTAACAAAAGATATTTTTAGAAGCAAACTGATAAAATTCAAAAAAGCATGAAATTGTGTTGATAATTTGTGTGAAATTAGCCTGTTTTGAAAGAGAGTGATTAATTATTTTTATTGGGATTTTTATTTACAGTGTAATGATAATTTGTTGATTTCACTGTACAGGTGATAATTGGGGTTGGACACTTACAGGTAAATTGTTTGAGAAAACAAATTTAACACATTTACGCATAATTATCATCCTTCAAGGGTAAACCGTTGATTGGTATATGCGCACATTGACAGATCTATGTTTTATTTGTTTATCTTTGTGCAAAATGTTAAAATTTTTTACTCAAAAAGTCCCTGATTCTGCAAATCATCAAACCTTGGTCCACGTGAAAGCGACTTTATTTAGGGAAATACGGCAAAGTCATGTTAATAAATTCATTTTTACATCACTGCAATCTCGGAATATGGTCTTCCTTCAACCATGTCATCCAGTAAACTGTTCCTTCTATATTTTATATCCACTTAAATACAAAAGAACGGTTTCCTTTACTTCCTTTATATTTTACCGACTGTTTACAGCCTTTATGGGGTCTCTGTTGGTGTATTTCCGATGTCGACACAGAATTTTATCACTGCTCTCTGCTCTACCTTTTCCAAAATTTCCCTTTTTCGAACAATGCCGATCCTGTCTCAGTAGATTCTAACCTCAATTTCTCAGCCATTTCTAATCTCTGAACATTCAAATTTTGCAGGTTTGACGTTAATACTTTTCTCAAAGTCATAAAGTAAAAGCAATTCAAATTTCTGTGGAGTTTTACAAAATGCAAATGAAATTTATAAAGTATGTGATAAATAACTTTTTAATTAAAACTTTGTCGTTATCCCAAGTCTAATAATGAAGCCATAATTGTAATTATATATTTGAAACTGAATATAATTTTACATTTTTTAATTCACATTTAGTAAAGGATTTTAAATATGCTAATAATAAATCTCAATGACACCTTTTTTATTTAAATTTTAGCTTGTCCACGAACTTTACGGACAACCCTTATATGTCTTTAATGTCCATCTGTTGAGAAAGAGGGGGTATTTAATATATTTTAACGAAAGTCAGAATGGGCTTTTTAGCTCACCTGAGCCAAGGGCTCAAGTGAGCTTTTCTGATCAAAATTTGTCCGTTGTCTGTCGTCGTTGGCGTTGTTGTCGTAAACTTTTCACATTTTCATCTTCTCAATAACCACTGGATTAATTTAAACCAAACTTGTAACAAAGCATCCTTGGGTAAAGGGAATTCAAGTTTGTTCAAATGAAGGGCAACGCCCTTTTCCAAGGGGAGATAACTATGAATTGGAGAAAAATTAATGGCATTTTTAAAAATCTTCTTCTCAAGAACCACTGGGCCAGGAAAGATGAAACTCATGTGGAATCATCCTCAGGTAGTGTAGATTCAAATTTGTTCAAATCATGACCCTCGGGGCTAGGGTGGGGCCAAAATGGCCGACCAAAGTTTTACATAGGAGTATATAGGAAAAATCTCTAAACATCTTCTTCTCAAGAACCACTGGACCAGGAAAGATGAAACTAATTTGGAATCATTCTCAGGTAGTGTAGATTAAAGTTTGTTCAAATCATGACCCCGGGGCTAGGGTGGGGCCAAAATGGCCGACCAAAGTTTTACATAGGAGTATATAGGAAAAAATCTCTAAACATCTTCTTCTCAAGAACCACTGGACCAGGAAAGATGAAACTCATGTGGAAGCATCCACAGGTAGTGTAGATTAAAGTTTGTTCAAATCATGACCCCCGGGGCTAGGGTGGGGCCAAAATGGCCGACCAAATTTTTACGTAGAAGTATATAGGAAAAATCTTTAAACATCTTCTTCTCAAGAAGAACTGGACCAGGAAAGATGAAACTCATGTGGAATCATCCTCAGGTAGTGTAGATTCAAGTTTGTTCAAATCATGACCCCGGGGCTAGGGTGGGGCCAAAATGGCCGACCAAAGTTTTACATAGGAGTATATAGGAAAAAATCTCTAAACATCTTCTTCTCAAGAACCACTGGACCAGGAAAGATGAAACTCATTTGGAATCATTCTCAGGTAGTGTAGATTAAAGTTTGTTCAAATCATGACCCCCGGGGCTAGGGTGGGGCCAAAATGGCCGACCAAATTTTTACGTAGTAGTATATAGGAAAAATCTTTAAACATCTTCTTCTCAAGAAGAACTGGACCAGGAAAGATGAAACTCATGTGGAATCATCCTCAGGTAGTGTAGATTCAAGTTTGTTCAAATCATGACCCCCGGGGCTAGGGTGGGGCCAAAATGGCCAACCAAATTTTTACATACGAGTATATAGGAAAAAATCTTTAAAAATCTTCTTCTCAAGAACCATTGAGACAGGAAAGATGAAACTCATGTGAAATAATCTTCAGGTAGTTTAAATTAAGATTTGTTCATATCATGACCCCTGGGGTTAGGTTGGGGCCAAAATGGCCAACCAAAGGTTTACGTAGGAATATATATTGGGAAAACTTTTAAAATATACTTTTCAAATACTTCAAAGCCATGATTAGTGATATTTATATGGAATCATCCTCAGGTAGTGTAGATTCTAGCTTAATTGTTTAAATCATGACCCCCTGGGGGGTTAAAATTCAAGCCCTCCCCCCCCCCACACACCACCACCACCACCACCTCAGTAAACTTTCAGTTCTGATCAGATTTGTGCTTTTTCCAAGCTGACGTGCTCAGGTGAGCGCTGTGGCCCCTGAGCCTCTTGTTAAAGGTTTATCATAAATTAAAATGGAGGCACCAAACTTCGATGAACATTTGATTGTGTGCGTCACCTCAACAATGAATTCCACAAAAAATTGATTTAAAATGAACAACAAATAATTCGCCTGTGAAAGAGAGGACTTTCGCAATATGCATATCCATTATTTTATGTTTATTAACAAAAAATATATCTAGAAGCAAACTGATAAAATTCAAAAGAACCTTGAAATTGTGTTGTTAATTTGTGTGAAATTAGCCTGTTTTGAAAAGAGAGTAATTAATTATTTCTATTGGGATTTTTTTTTACAGTGTAACGATAATTTGTTGATTTCACTGTTCAGGTGATAATTGGGGTTGGACACTTACCGGTAAATTGTTTGAGAAAACAAATTTAACACATTTACACATAATTATCATCCTTCAAGGGTAAACCGTTGATTGGTATATGCGCACATTGACAGATCTATGTTTTATTTGTTTATCTTTGTGCAGAATGTTAAAATTTTTTACTCAAAAAGTCTCAGATTCTGCAAATCATCAAACCTTGGTCCGCGTGAAAACGACTTTATTTAGGGAAATACGGCAAAGTCATGTTAATAAATTCATTTTTACATCACTGCAATCTCGGAATATGGTCTTCCTTCAACCATGTCATCCAGTAAACTGTTCCTTCTATATTTTATATCCACTTAAATACAAAAGAACGGTTTCCTTTACTTCCTTTATATTTTACCGACTGTTTACAGCCTTTATGGGGTCTCTGTTGGTGTATTTCCGATGTCGACACAGAATTTTATCACTGCTCTCTGCTCTACCTTTTCCAAAATGTCCCTTTTTCGAACAATGCCGATCCTGTCTCAGTAGATTCTAACCTCAATTTCTCAGCCATTTCTAATCTCTGAACGTTCAAATTTTGCAGGTTTGACGTTAATACTTTTCTCAAAGTCATAAAGTAAAAGCAATTGAAATTTCTGTGGAGTTTTACAAAGAGTAATTAATTATTTTTATTGGAATATTTATGTAACAATAATTTGTTGATTTCACTGTACAGGTGATAATAGGGGTTGGACACTTAAATTGTTTCAGAAAACAATTCTTAAAATTAACACATTTACGCATAAATATTTACATTTGCAAATGTTTTCCTTTATATAACACTACTGAAAGCAAGCGTTTTTATAACTGTATAAATACAGGTACGGGGTCAAGAGGTCATAAATGTGCGTATGGATAAACGTTCGACGTAATTTCTCAGTGACGTCATAAAAGGTCGACTGCGCGTTCAGTGGATTACATACATGCCTTTGGGTTTGAAAAATAATGCATTTCACACATTAAAAGTCACAATCAGGCAAATTTAAAGTATGAATAAGTCACAAATGTAAATATAAGTAATAAGGTATCATTTTTGGAGTTTTATTGGGATGTAAAACGGGTTGGCACATGATCAAATCTTCCATAAAGCTTTATGGGATTTGATCACGTGACCAACCCGTTTTACACCCCAATAAAACTCAAAAAATGATACCTTATTTCTTAATTACAGTACCCGCATCATTATTCTTTACAGGATACACGATGCGATAGGATACACGCACGATACGATAGGGTACACGCACGATAGGACAGGATACACGCACGATAGGATAAACGCAAAACACGATAAACGCAAAACACGATAGACCTGAGGCCTGTTCAGCAGAGCGGACGTTCGCAAGCGCTTGCCAAAATTACTATCTGGAGTATAAGGAATATTGGCGAGCGCTCGGGAACGTTCGCTATGCTGAACAGGCCTCA